TACATCTCTTCTTCTCTCTCTCTCTCTCTCTCTTCTCTCTCTCTCTCTCTCTCGGATGCCAACCGGAAGCGACGGCTTTATCCGATTTCATACAAGTCCGTGGAAACGGATGGCGTTTCGCAAAAGCCCGACAGTCGAGATCGCGAAGCTGTAATTGAATGCCGTTGGCGTACGGCAGTAAGTAAGAGTGATATCTCAGTGAAATCATCGATGACGATGACAGGAAACAGCGATGCCGCCGCCCGCAAGTACGGCTTTCGATTCTTCCTCGCCCTCGGGCGAAGTAGTTGCGAAAGTGGAGAAGATTTCGTAGTCGTTTTGTTGATTGCCTCGAGAGAAGCGCACTCGCAGACTAAATATTTTTCTCTCTTTATATATTGAAAATTCAATGATTATAATATACAACACAAACGATGATTGTCTGATGACAAGTAATTTAAAACAAATTACTAAGTACCAGTAAATTGATCATATAAACAACAAGTAATCTAGTAATATAAAAAAATTTCTTTTATGGTGCATCACGTGGCCAATTTCCGTAATTAATTCCGAAGAAAATTAATAAATTTGAGATTGCAGCAGCCACGGGGGAGAAATGCGGAACATTGAATGAAGAGCTATAATTTTGAGAATTAATTTAGATAGAGGCGCAGACGAAATTATAAGTCTGTCGGTTGATCCATTAATTAGATCACAACCCATCATTGTTAAGAAGAAAAACGTATGATTAGAACAGCTCGTTTGATATTCGGTATGCGGTTGAATCCCTGGAATCTTTTTCCGTTTGTTAACTGTAACCATAAGCCGCCGTAATCTAAATCTACGTATGTGTTTCAGGTGATTACTAACGGTCTCAAGTGCGACTCGGACGACGTTGACGGTTTGACAAACGGTGAGTCACTCGCTCTCTCTTCCCGTCTCTTCTTTTTTTTCTCTTCTTCTTCATTCATAAAGAGATGCAATCAACGACTACCGCGTAAGATTAGGCTCATTTGATGCACCCGGCGGTTATCTTATTTTCATTGACTAAATTCCACCGCGTACTGGGCCCATTAATGGAGAAACAGGACGGTAATCGGGACGGTAATTAGGACGGTATGAAAGCTTTTAAAACTTTTTTTAATTTTAATTTCTATTAATAAGAGAATTAACAGAAAAAATTAGTCTTAAATCAAGACAAATATTCTTATATATAAATGAGAATATTATAATTTTCTTAAAAATTTTAGTCTTAATTTGATTGAACTTGTATTGATATAAATATTACTTTTGCTCAACTTAAAAATCTTTTATATAAAAATTCTATATAAAGATAATATTCTTGCTTATATATATATGAGAATATATAGTCTTGATTTAAGATTAATGTTTTTTCTGAGTATCAGATATTTTTTTTTATTTTTTTGTTCTATCAATTTACTCGAACTATTTTTATTTTTCAAAGATCTGTCAAAGATTAATTAAATAATTAATATACCGTATTTGCCTCCTCATATTAGAGATAAGCTCGAATAAGTGTGAATTATTTTGAATTTATTTTGTAGCACATAACTAGTAATTTTCTTCGAACAGAAATGTTAAATAATGAAGTTTCGTCTTCAGACTTCTGTGATTGATTTTATTTAATTACCAAGTCATTACGATGACTTTCACAATTTATCACGCTTAGTGCACCGACTCGACGTTACGTTGTTTTTACGCCAATATTAAGTGCTTCATAAAACTGTCGTTTTTCTTCTCTCTAGAATAAGCATCTTAATGGCATGCGAAAGATAACTGGAAGAAAATGAAAGAAGCGCGATTTTATTTAGGGGAAAAACATTCGTGACATTCGTGTATTACTCATTATCGTTCTAATTGGATCTTAATATTCGAAACGTTTCGCACTCGCTGGAAATTTATGATTCCATTTTTATAATCAGCTGTAATTTACAACTTGCAGTTTTCCCCGTCGTAAATCAAACGCTCCACATATCGGCATATTTATCTATAACACGCATGAATCTACTTGCGTTATCATTATGATTCATATATTCATAAAAATCACAACTATTTCCATCGATAATTGTGCCGCTTGAAACGCGAGTTCTTATCGCGGATTTACTCTTACTCCAAAATAATAAATAATTACTTTCTCTTATTCCAAAATGTTCTTTAATATTTCTCAATCCAATCATAGTAGATTAAAGACAAAATCCTTCAAAATAAGGAATATTTTTAGCAAAACTTTATTTTCTTTCCAATTCTCATACAATCTATATTTTATATTTTATAATTTTTAATAAATAAATTTTTATAATAAAAGTTTTCTCTTTTTACAATCAAAGAGAAAGTATCTCTGAATGTAATTATTATTTCAGGACTCACAATGTTAGAGATCGCTAGACTCAAATATTAAATATATAACATCATGTAACTTTGAAAGCACATATTTATATATTCATGTTTGTAGGTTTTATTTATTTTTTTATTTTAACTTAAGTATTTCACCGTTATCACTTTTTGATATTGAAATAATTTGATTTATAATAAAAAAAAAAAAAATACAGGAAATCTTATATACATAAGGAATCTGATTATTGGTGCATATTTCAACATTTGCTAATTACAATTGCAATTTTTTTCAAGCACGAAAAAAATTTGAGTCAATAAAAGGTTAGTCGTGTCATACTTCGAAATTTCTCGGATTCTCTTTGGAGCACAGAAAGACTCAACAGGAGGTAGCTCGCGCTTTATATATAGCACACGGATTTTCCAGATAAACAACAGAAGAGAAGTGAGGATTTCGTGGAGAAGAAAGCGAGTTTTTTTTTTTCCTCGTGACGTAACAACCTGTCGTCCTCGGCGAGGTTGCGACGGCCCTGACTTTGCCCTACGGTCACTATCATCCCGGCGCGAGTTCGAGCGAACGGGCGCGCGTGTGCCCGCAACGACGACGTTGATGATCCGGCCGCATTTTCTCACGCTACTTCAGCTGCTCCTTGCCGACGCAATGATCTCCCTTTCGTAGCCGCACATCTGCCTGAAAATTACGTTCCGTGCCGGCTTACGCGCGTTTCATCTCCCCCGTCCCGCCTCCGCCACTCCGCACACGACTCGTTAATTTGTGATCCGCCACGTCATCCTCGAGCAGGACTCGTTCCTCTCGGCCCTTCGAGATTAATCCCTTCGGACGCACTTCGGAAGTCAGACTGTCCCTCGCACCGTATAATTTTCTTATCGCGTGCACATCCGTCCGCGTAATACCGACAAACGACTTCATCCGACTGTTGTTGTAATGTAAATCGTTGAAAATGAAATTTTTTCCGAGATTCGAACGAATTTTACTATTTAATTCAACGTTATTAAAACTGTACAGCTTTCAATTTTTAATTTTTAAGGGACGAGTATTTAATTTTTAAGGGAACCGTATCGTCCGTTTTAAATTATACGGAGGGAGTAGAGCGATGTCTCATAAATATTATTCAAGGATAGCAATTACAGAGGAACTCCTCCATTATTTATTTTATAACGGATTCCTTGTATTAAGATATTTTTTTATTTTTGTCTTTTATTTGCCGGAGTCCTTTTTAAATGATTTATTATGTCAATTTCGCTGTATCTTCATATCGATTACTCGAGCCATTAATTTTATTATTCGTGGATTCGTTTTCTTACGGAGCTTTATTTAAACGTAATGTTAAATAATATTCTGAGAATGTCATAATATTCTCAGAACATTTTAAGTATGTCTTTTATTAAAATAATAATTATTTCTTATATACAAAATTATATACAAAATTAAATTGAAATAATCAAGAAAATTTATAAATTATAAATTTTATTTAATATTTTATTTAATATTCTTTAATATTATGGGATATTATTTCATTGCTATATGTTTGAAGAATATTATGAAAATGTTCTTGGAATATTATTATGATCAAAACTAGATGTCCATATGATATTCATTGGATGTTAATATTAACGTTTGAAATCATTGCGTGTAGCGATGATTAGCGAACGTTAGATAAGCACGATAGTGAAAGTAGGAAGGATGAAGAAAATTGGGATATCACATCGTGGATTATTAGATTATTATATCATCTTTATTTAATCCGCGATCGACGAACGCGTAACGTAAGGCGATCGAAGGCATAAGCGCCCGCGTTGCGTTTGTTGAGGCTAATAATAATCTTTCTCTGCCAGGATTCAAGGATAATCGTAATTACCGCCGCGATCCGCAATACGCGAATAGTGTCGTAATTAGATTTTAATTGTTAATGAATAATTAGCGGTTATATACCGTAACCGCGATTACGGCCTTAATTATTACGACTTCGACCGGCCGCGCGGTTTCTCTCTCGAGCTTCGAGCCTTCTCGAAATTCGCGGTTAAACGAATGCGTTAAGTGAGAGAATCTAATTTTTTGTAATAAGCTAATAAAATTTCATTTAATAGTTCTATGTCGTCATTCATCATTTTCTTCGCGTCTAAATGCTCGTTCGTTATTCTTTCTCATCAAGTTTCTTAGAATTTGTTATATTTCGCTAAGTAATTTGTGATTAGATAACGCGTTATTATCTAAATTCATTAATCGTCAATTTATTTGCGAAGATTTTAATATGATATTTAATTATCAAACTTTCTATTTAACGTTTAATGCATTTAAGAAGTTGTACTGAAATATTTTTTGAGAACAAACTGATATCGCGATTCGAAAAAATTGTTAAGACTAAAAATACGGAGCAGTCATTTTTAATTACTTTTTTTAAATTAATATATTTTTTCTTATTGAAAATACGATTTCAACTGAAATATTTCAACTTTTTATCATTTATTTCATTCTAATAAAATATTAAAGTGAGAAATATAAAATCCTACTTTTGATTTGATTTGACTAAAAAAAATTATATTAATTTAAAAAAGTAGCAAAAGTAAAAAAATAACCTGGTGCTTTTAATGTTAATAAAATAAAAAAATGGACAGAGATACGTAAGTAAGATCATAAAGTTTTCATCAACTTGATGGTCTTTACAGCTTCGCTCTAAATCTCCGATGGTTCGTTTTAGATTCCGTCGTTCATCGCGATCGAAAGTGAGAGTGCGGTTTTTGCTTATCGAGAGATCGAGGAAAGTGTCGTTGTCGGAGGATATTCCGCGGTTGTAACGCGGTAATAACTTTCGATTCGGATCTCGCTCGTCATTATCCCGCGCACGCCCCGTGCACGTTCTTCAGTGTGTCTCACTTCGGGATAAGCGGCCGATTGTCGATTAGGCGCACCACGTCGGCGAGGCTGTGTAAGACACGCTCCGCGATTAAATGGCGTCGCGCCTCGCCGGACGTTCCGGGCGCAAAATTCACTTTCCGCTCGTAAAATCCAACAATCCAAATCCGATCTGGTCCTACCGCCCACGTCGAGAGAGCCGCGTTACCGATGACCCGCTGCGACCCACTGTAAATCGATGAAATGGATAAGTTGGGAAAGAGCTCGGGAGTTTTCCAAAGTGTTGTCTTTCCCCTTCAAGAAAAATTTTATTATTTACATTAAGTTACTTAAAATATATAAGAGAAGGAAAAGAAAATGTGATAACTGTATTTAAAGATTATATTAAAGTGCGATAGTGAATAGGTAGGATAGGAATTTTTTTCTTTTTAGTGCTGCAGGCTAGGATAAGATATGGATGGATGTGTGGGATAAGGAAAAAAATTTGTAAACCAAATCCTTTTCGGACTGTAAATATGTTAAATACATAATATATATTAAATACATATGAAATACATAATAATATATTAAGTTACTTAATTTATATTATTAATATTAATAAAATTAATAATTAATAATTCAATTAAAATTAAATATTAATTTATATTAAATACTTCTAATTATTAGTTTCTTGACAATATTCTGCTTTGATAGAATATTACTTGAGTTCAATTAATTTAATTTAATAAGACATTTTCGCCGAAACGTAAATAACTAGAATGTTTAATAATTACGATTTTCACTTGCGTATTTTTTGATATTTTACGAGCTATTTGATTTTTCGGGAATTGTACTATCTCTAATATTTAGGATTATCATATTTTCATGTATTTTTATTCTTAGATTCTTAGAGTTTGAAATCCCTGAGATTTTTTTCCAGAGCCGTCCATTTCGCAAATCTTTCGACCGTGTTTATTTTGTATCATGAAAGGTTTCTCCCTTATGTATAAAATACATAAATTTATGCGTTCAAATATTTACGTTCAAAATTAATAGCTCTGAATTTCAAGAAATATCGAGGTAGAAATGTCTATTGTGCAATCGTTTAGCAAAGTTATGTAGATTAATGGATTTTAGATAAATCTTGTAGTTTATCTAAAAATCACCTTATCAGTTTATGATTACGGTATGTGTTGTGTAACGTTGTTTAGCCGTTAAGAGTCGGAATATAATCGCACGTGCGGTAATAGAAGAATTATATCACCATATGATTATCACATGTGGCCGATCGAAATTCAATCATTTCTGTTGAAATGCAATAAGGTGATAAATGCGAAACATGCGCTTTTATATAATCCTGTTATCCTGTTATCTGCTTGCACTTTCTTCGGCTTTGCATTATTGGTTTCTCTTCAGCTTTGCATATGAATGGCGACGAAGGACCCATTTGTAAAATGCTTTACACACACGGTGCATGTCATCTTTCAAACCTTTTTCTCAAGACATTTAATCGTATTTTTGAGTTTCCGATATTAGCATTTATCAAAATTTACTCAAAATATACCTAGTATTCATTTTTATTAACATTTTCTATTAATTAATATTAATTTTTCATTTATTTGAAAAAAATTTTAGTTTATTTTAATTCCGGGATGCGGTAAACAACAAATTAATTATTTTATATTAAATAAGTAAATAAAAATAAGTAAATAAAAATTGACATATTTAATCAATAGATATAATTAATATCATGTTTAATTTTTTTATGCCTAGCGTTTAAGAAAATTTTTTATCGCGGCTTAAGCAGAGGATGGAAATCCTCGCGATAAGTTCGAATTTCATTAACATAAATTTAATAAAATATTTACTTACTCGCAATATGTAATATGTCTTTCATGAATCCGCGATACTTGCGATTCTAAATGCTGCGATTGTAAATATTAAGCAATTTATATAGCAGTCGATAGTTTGATTCAGGACCACCGACATGTATTTCCTATGCGAAGCTGACGATGCGCGACGCGTAAGTAAATAATCGCGTAACAGGCTTCCGCGCGATTGTCGTGCGCGTCATCTTTCTGTGCATCATGCTTCAGTTCAGTGATGCAGTTACATCAAACGTTACTCCGAACACAACAGAAGCACGCGAATACTCGGCGAGAATCGAGACAACGCGACGTACATAAAACTCGGCGTCCGTTGTTATTTTCACGCCTGATCATCTTGAGTATTAATTAATCAACTTTTTAACGGCTTAATAAAATTATAGCCTCCGCTTTTTAGCGGAGACCGTTAATTATTTCTGAAACGTAACATAAGTGTTAAGTTAAATCTTATCGAAGTAGCGCATAAAAAAAATCGGAATATCGCGGCTGTTCTGTGAAGCGGTCGCTAATCTCCGAGAGAGATTCTCGCAACGTGTGATTTGAATATCTTTTACGTACACTTGAGAAAGAGATGAAAAAAGCGCGATTTCCTTTCCGTCATTCATCGTCAATAATTACGCGCACTCGTATCTAATTGTCGAGGCTCGAGCGCTCGCTTATCTCGGTACTGCACGCTTATCTGCACGCTAATGATGCGTTGCATGCGTGTGCGCTTGTTGCCGGTTTATCTCGCTTAACTTTCAAAAATTCGGATCAATGCTCCGCCGCGGCGGGTCAATGACACCGCGAAATAAATAAACAGAGCAGACGCATCGGAGTGTGAACGACCAG